ATAAAATAAAATAAAATAAAATAAAATAAAATAAAATAAAATAAATAAAATAAAATAAAATAAAATAAAATAACATAAAACGAAGTAAAGTCAATGCTCGTCTCTCTTGCCTTGGATCCAGGTTATAGGAACATCGAAGACAACGTGAAACAGATGAATTGTTCAAAGCAGGAGCGTGTTTTAATGACACTGAAGGGGTAGCACTAAGATGCCCTCTCGGAATAATCCAAAAGGATACAGAGTTTTAAGATATCAAGCCTAATCAAGGCCTTGCCTGATTATATCAGGAAGAAACCATTGGATCTGCTTAATAGAACAACGACAGAAGTATTGAGAATAGGAGCAACCATAAGTGGCACTGATGCCTTGCCAGATGAAGAATAATACCGGTTTGTTTCCAAACCAAATTCGACAAAGGATGACGGATTTTATCCAATTAAAAAGCTTGGACGTCGTTTAAAAGGCAGAAAGGCTAGACTTGGATATTAAACTGTGCTCTACTCTTCTTTCTCAAGGCAAACACAAAAAGATTGCATCGCAACTCCGAAACAGATGGCTGGTATTTCGATAACTGAACTTAGTGCACAAAGACTTGGTTATGTGATGAGCTAGAAATTAGGACGGCCAGAGTGCAAACATGCTCGAATATGTACTATCGAAGAAGTTCTTTTTCATATCTGACAAAGTGCTTTCAAGACTTCCAGATATCTAGTACACGCTCAGTCTCAACTCAAATTGGGATTGGGGAATACATGTACGGCTTACTTGATATCAAATATCGCTTAAAGTTATCTTTGAAACGGACGGAATCGAAAAATATTTTACGGTTCTTTGGCAGCGACATTCTATGTACCTATGTATTGTTACACCATGCGACAAAACCAAAAAAAAAAATAAATAAATATTCAAAACACACAAAGCGATTAATAACTATAACACGAAACTATGGGCCAAATACAGTTAAACTGCGTTTTTGTTTTTCATTCTGACGTTAGGATACTTTTAAAGGACTTTGAAATTTTAATGATATGATTAATTCAAAAAATTATAAATTTTTTGGTTTACAAGGACGTATAGTTATTGGAAAGCGCTTTTAATTAATTTTATTTTTTAGCTAATAATGTTACAAGGAAGTGGTCTTTGTACTTGACATAAATTTTTTTTTTCAAAAATAAATACTGCAAACTTTCAAGGATGTTCAAGCACAAAATTTTAAAATGTAATTTTCCATAAACATTCATCATCATGCACCAAAAAAAATTTTAGAGAATTTTATGTTTTATTTAATACCCCCACCGTATTCTACATTGCACTGAATTTTTAAAATATTTTTTTGAATTAATCACTTTTAAAATATCAAGGTCTTTTAAAACAAAATTCTGGCATTAAAGTGAAAATCTAAATACGTAGTTTTACTATGTTTTGCCCATAGTTTCGCGAATATATTAATATTTTTGTGTAAAATTTACTGCATTTAAATGCAGCAACTACGACATAGTTGAAAAACTTGGATGAGAAATTCAACCTACGCAACTTTAATGATGTATGCTCATTCTAGTTTCGAATAAGTTTTACTACGATACCGTCCACGGCCCTCAACAATCTTGCACGCTTCGCGGATGCATTGGATTTGTATCCAGTTTATATTTTCAGGCTCAAGTTTTTCGTTTGAGCAGTTAGTAGCTTTTCGGCCTCATCGGGGTTCAATTTTAAACTGCTAAAAATCAAGCAAAATAGTAATGCCTCCGTCAAAACATGCAGGCCCAGTTTCAAGTTCAGACTAAATTTTGTTTAACGCATTATTTCGTATTTTAATTTTAATTTTAGAAAATTTCCTTTTTTTAAACCAATATTTTTTCTATTTAGGAACACTATTTCTGGATGTTTTCCGGTTCAAGCCATCCCATCTAGTCATAGACTTAAGTAATAGTTTAAGTTTGACTCGCGGATCGAACGAGTATACATACATCAACAAAATGTCGATGACATCGCTGGGTATCAGCACCGGTTTCATGATCGGTTACTGTGTCCTTGCCCAGATAGCTCGTCGTTTCGCCAAACGTTTCGTCGATCGCGAAGGCATCGTGCCGGTACTCATTAATGAAGCGATCGCTGCAGCAGAATTATGCGCTTGCTGTTTTGAATTAATCATTGGTAAGTGCATATTTACACAAGACCGAAGTTGCTCAAATAGTTTCTTAAATATTTACTTTTCTTTGATTTCGTAGTAGCGGATAATTTTGGTGTTGCCGCTTATGCAGTCTTTCTATTTATGCTTACCATTTGGTGGGGCAAAGTATGGGGTGATGCTTCGGCATGTCCATATACACACATGGAAGACCTGGTGGAAGGCAAGACATCATTGAAGGAAGTCGCCTTGCGTACATGGGCCGAATTAATGGGCGGCTGTTGTGTTTATAGGATAGTTCAAGTCTTTTGGTGGTTCGAATTTGCCGAAACTCACAAAGGACGCGCCTTTGAGGAATGCAACGCTGATTTACAGGTAAGAACTAGAAAGTGACTTTTGTTGAATATGCATGAACTTCATTTTGTAAGGAAGTAATATCGTCTCGCTTCTAAGGTATTGTCTCTAAGAAGCACTAAATTTTAAATTAGCATTCGCTGCCGATGTTCTAAACTTAAACAATAGGAAACCAAGTGTAGAAACAGAACCGCCCAAAAAACGTGACACTTTTTTCAAAATTTTTTGTTTGATACAGAAACACATGTAGATGCTCTCAAGGAATTTCTGCAACTATGGCCAACAAATTCTTTGGAGAGGACGACCCTTCGAACAGGATAGGCGCGGGGCTGCCAGCTATCCTAAGCTATGGGGAGCCATATTGGGCATAAAAAAGTGCCAATTAGAAAAATAAAAGTGCCGTAAAAGATTCGATTATTTTTAACCAAAAGAAGATTATTTCTTTCTTACCCATTTAGAATAAAATAAGAACCACGTTTCTGAAACAAATTGGCAGGCCTATCATGGGTGCTCCATGCCGGTGATATGTATCGGTTTACGAAGCTTTTTTTTGAAATCTTGATTTTTGGGATACTGAGTAAACCGGATTTTTACCATCGATTAAACCGGGTTTTCACTTAGTTTCATCTTAAAATTCCAAATATTTATTTTATTGAAAATAGAACTATTTACAACATTTTTATTAATATTATATTTATTAATATTATATTTATTTTATTTTTCTGAATTTTCCTGTTATTTGTTGTACTATAAAAGATAGTAGATCTTATTGCACTAATGTTTTTTCGCAATAAATGAAATGAATTATATCTGAATACTAGAAAATATTCCACCGCAGAAAATTACTTCTATACATAGTATAAAAAAACCCAAGATTCTTTGTACCCCGTAATCTCGAAAACTACTAAACGAATTGAGAGTGACTTTTTTACTTCGAATTTTAATAGGGTTGCCGCCTGCCTGAAAAAACTATAAAATGCGCACCTTTCGTTGGATTAAAAAAGAAGAGGTGTCGAATGAAAGGGATTAGCCTCTAGAAAAGCACTAATGTTTTTTTTAATAGGGTTGCCACCTGTTAATAAAATAAACTATATTCAATCATAATAAGCGTAGGCATCAGTTCTGCACCGTCACTGTCAAATGAAAATGTATTATTTTTCAGAGTAGGATTGCCACCTATAAAATAATAAAAGATTTTCGCCGTTCGTTGGATTACAAAATGAGATACCAAATGAAATGAAATGGCCTTCGTACAAAAGCTTTCATTTTTTAATAGGGTTGCCACCTATTTAAAAATTACTATCTTCTATACATAGTATACAGGAAAGTCGAGATATTTTGACCACGCTGAACGGATTTATACGAGACTTTTAAAGTAGAAGCTGTATCGATAGGTATATTATCTTTAGTACTTCAAATTCCTATAGGGTTACCACATGTCTAAAAAATTATTAGATCCGCATTATTCGTTGGACTGCAAAAAATGAGGTGTCAAATAAAAGGACTCAGCTTTTACATGTTCAATAATGTACTACTTTTTAATTAGTGTTGCCACTTTTAAAAAATTATAAGATAATCACCGTTTGTTGGACTAAAAGTTGAGGTACCAAGTGAAAGGATATGGTCTTTGCATGTGTAATAAGTTTTTATTTTTTGTTTGAGTGGGATTGCCACCTATTTAAAAATTATGTATGTATAATACGCGAGGGTATTTTTTGTTAATGAAATTATATTTGCACAGTTCATTCAATTTAAAAAAGTGAGGTGTCAAAGGAAAACGCTTGACCTTCCGATTTGCAGTAAGGTTTTATTTTTCGAAGGAGGAAAAAAAATGTGGGCTGTTCGTTAGGCTACAAGAAATGAGGTGTCAAATGAAAGGGCTTGGCGTTTTAGCGAAATTTTAAATTTTCGAATCCCTCCAAATTTCTTTGTTTTTTTTTACAACGAACAAACCAACGGATTTGATTTTTTTTTTGCTTCGAATATTTGACCAGCTGTGAGCGTTCAAACTAAGCATGTTTCAGCAAGTGCATTAAGTATTTTCGCGCTTTTTTGCAGTACAAAGTTTGTTTACAGAAAAAATTTTATTTTTCTAACTTTCTAAATATTTGTATTAGTGGTTTAATTGAAATTTTTGGGTATGTGTTAAATAAAAACAAAGTATGTTTGTGGCCTGTGCTTATGGGTTTTAGTGCATAGCCGTGGTACAAAATGCCCTTTCTGATAAAGTGTTTTAGCATGTGAAATCTAATCTTCTGTGGAATAAAAGTTGGGTGGATTCGACAGGATTTGTCCCAGTATTGTATTGGTTTTGTCGTCTATATTGTCTGTGTCAAGTCGAAGAATTAGGTGCCGGTTTCTGCAATTTTTATTTTATTTTTTGCGTTTTTAAGGTACAATATCAGAGTCAAAACGCATCCTTTTTAGTTTGATATAGTAAACCAGTATCAACAAAAAAGTTTTTGGTTGTCGAAAATCATGTATTTTCTAATATTATTGATCCCTCATAAGATACAAATACAAAAATATACAAAAAATATTACACCTAAAATTTGTTTTTTTTTTGCCCGATTCTTAGCCGACGTCTCCTCCTCTTAAACACAAAAAAAGGCTAACTTAAGGGCCCCTACCTATACCCAATACATACTGCATTATCTGTTTCGTGCTGAAATAAGTAGGCGACAAAACTCTGGTCGAGTCGAAACTTAGGCAATGCAACGTTATACGAATTGACTCTCAAAAAACGACTTGCAGTCGACACTCACAACCATTCTAGCTATATTTGAAATCATCGTTAAAGGTTCCATTTTAAAGTACAGATATAATGTTCGGATATATTGCAAAAACATTCAACATTTTGTAGAACGATGGAGCCCAGGTCTGAACTGCACTTTTATGTCAATAGCTTAAAAACCGAATGTTTAATAATCTCAAGATTTTTGATGTACCATTTGACCACTTCAACTCCTTCTCAACGTACTTCATTGCCACTATGAACTGTTACGATCGAAAAAATCCCTTGCATATGTAGATCTTTAAACTTTTGGTACGAATAGCTAGAGGTTGCCACTACCTTATGTCGGCATAATGATCAACTCCTTCATCGCTTACCACGATCGATCCGACGGCCCCGACACCGAATTCGGGACTGTGTGTACACTGGGTCGGAAGGCAAAGATGTAGGACCTAGGGTGCTGGTAAAGAAGACGAATTCTTATTCTAGAGCTCATTATATCCATTTATTTATGAATTTTCGAAAGACATTTTTTAAATACAAATCTATAACTTTTACTCCCCAGGTACACCCCTATCTCGGCGCCGCTATCGAAGGTTTAGCCACGCTGCTCTGTCGTCTCGCTTCGAAGGCGCTCAGTGAGAAAGAGCCGAAGTTCAGCAACATCATTGACTCATTCATTGGCACCAGTTTAGTGGTAGCAGGTAAGCGAAAATCAGCCAACCAAATAACACTATTAGTCATTAGTTCTGTCCATGCACAACAATGGAACACGTGAGATCCCTCTCAAGAAAAGTTTATGCTTTTAATTATGTGATGTTTTCAGCATTTAACTACTCGGGCGGCTATTTCAATCCCGTGCTGGCAACTGCGCTCAAATGGGGCTGCCGCGGACACACCAATTTGGAGCACATCATTGTCTATTGGATTGGAGCATGTGTTGGCGCGCTGTTGTCAGTGCCGGTTTATAGAGTGCCAGTCGTCAGACGCTTCCTAGTGGGCGAACACAAAGAGAAGGAAGAATAGAATCGTGGCCAGCGAAGTGCCTTTGCCGAGTTGTTGATGCAATGTAGCAGTTATTTGTGCACATCTTTAAAATTTTCGCACCTGTTTCATATTTTAACGTATATGTACGTATATGATTTTATGATAAATATAATTGGCATTTTTAATTTGTTAACACAAAAAGACTTTAGTTAAATGCAACGAAAAATACTCGAATTTTTTGTTATAGTGTTGAATACTTCACAGTTGTTACCTTATAATTGTAAAAAAAAAACATACGTACTTACATACATTTTTGTACGTACGTTAAGTTAATAAATACATACATAAGTATGATCAAATACAAAATATGTAATTTTGTAAATATATATTTATAATTGTACTTGACCAAAAATTACAAGCTACGTTGTTGGTATTGTATCGGTTGTTATTGTTGTTCCTGTTGTCGCAGTTGTTTGCTTTCGTTTGCCGCGACGCTTGCGCGTTATAAATAAATTTACAACATTATCCGAAACCTTTTCAAAACGATAATCACTCGTTCCGAGTGAAATGTGCTTCGTACTGGCATTGCTATCGTTGACCGATGAATTCATATTCTGCGATGCGCTGTAATCCGTTTCATCTATGGTAACATTCATGTTGGAAACTTGCAGCGAATTGCTGCTGATGTCACTGAGAAAAGTGTCAGAGGCATTGAAGTCAACGGCAGGTGTTGCATTCGATGTCGAAGGCGCTTCAGCTACAGGCGTGGCCAATTCTGAGACAAGAATTTCATGCGTAGGTTCTTCAGCAGATTGTGCGGTCAGGGGCTGCGACACTTGCGTTATAGCTGCAATGTTAGTCGCCAATTTTGTTATAGGTCTCACCTGCGCAGCTGTAGCTGAAGTTTTATCAGTCACTTTGGGTGAGGCGAACATTTGTTCTAAACGTGAATCAAGTTCCCGATATTGCTCATCCTGACTAATATTGGCCGGTAATGATGTTGGAGTTTGCGGTGCAGGCAGTATGCCATTCGACTCGTTGGCTTTATCATTCTGCAGAATCTCGAGAATGTCGCTATTTTGTGGCAAATCAGACGCGCTAAATTCGCATGGCATTTGTGCTGGCTGTGCAGTCGTTGATAATTCCGAGCTGCGCGCTTCCTCCTCCACCTCGTCATCACTGTCTTCGATGCGCATTTTGCAGCGTTTGCGGTTGCGTGATTTGGGCATTACTTCGGGCTCATCATCTGTACTCGCATATGATCTGCGTCGCTTTGGAATTTTGGCGAGTGTGTTCTCAGCACGCTGGGATGTATTTGATTCAACTATTTTGGAATGACTTGCGACTGAATCATTAATCACAGAAAGTGATTTCGATGAATGGCAAGGAACTTCTTTTTGTTTTGAGCTCTCAGGAGTTTTGTGCGCATTTTCTTTTTTCTGCACACACAGTTCTAACTTAGCGCGTTTCTCTAGACTTTCGATACCCACTGCTGCCTTCGAGAGCGTATTTTTGTGCTCTTCTGTTGCTCTTTTCTTCCCAACGACAGAACTTCTACTCCTTTCTTTTTGCGATTTGTAGTCTTCCGTTAACTTTTCTTTAGAACTACATTTCGCATTCAGTGTCTGCTTGTCGCGTGACCTTACTTCTGTTGGTGTGGTACCATCCACCTCTTTCTTGGAGAGTAGTACTTTAGATGAGGACTCTGGCTGCGCAGTTTGGCCTGTTTTGTTACAATTTTCGACTTCTTTTTCGCTTTTCTTTGGTTGCCTTATCTGCCCTGCGATCACCTTTTCGGTGATTTTTTTTTCCCGTTCGCTTGATATCTCTATTTTTAACTGATTTTGAACGGGCACATTTTTTTCGCCGCCAGCCAGACTCGGGTCGTCTCCAGTATTTGTTGAACCATTCTTAGTTTGTGAAGAGTGCGGTTTCTCAGTCAATTGACACTTGCGATGTTGTTTAACTTTCGTGCTAACTGCACGCAAGTCTTTTCCGTCGCTCATTTGATTGCTTTTAGCAGGTTTTTCTTCAGAACAACTAGTCTGTTCAATTTCTGTTTCTTGACTCTTGTTCTCTCCATCACACGTTTCAACTTCCTTAAGGCATTGCGATTTCTCTTTAAGGTTCATTGCAGGTTTGTATTCATCAGTCTTTTGTTTTGTAAGTGTTTGGGATGCTCTTTTATCGGCTGTTTCGCCGTATTTAAAACGCTTATTTGGTAAGTGGCTTGATTCGCTTTCCAACTCTTCCGTCGATCCTGCAGTCTTATTAGCTAATAACTTTCCGCTCTCACCTTCAGCTGCATTACTTCGATTAGCATTTATTTCTTCTGTCTTCTTTCGAACTTTTTTCGAGCTTGCAACTAATTTGCATTCGTCTACGATGTGTTTGACCTCCACTTTTTCTCTTGAATGCAGCAATTCCACGTTATCCACCTTTGTTGTCGTTTCCTGTGCAGGTGCAGTGTCTAGCATTATAACACTTTCGATAATTTCCGATGAATCGCCCACCTTCCTCCTTGCCCAATTATCGATTTCTTTTATTATGCGCTCACTTTTTGCCTTTTCAGCAGACAATGCTTGCGCTTCCTCCGGTGTTCGTCCATTTAGAAGTCGCGTATCTATCAGCTCCCTCTCAACAATAGCGTTTATTTCTACAATCTTGGTTTCTTCTTCCGTCAAAATTAACGTTTGTCTTATAGCATGGCTTTCCTCCTTTTTCGAATTCTTACTCCGCTTTGTACGCTTCTCTACTTTGTCACCAAACTGAGAACAATCTGTAGCACTATTTTTTGAGACTTCCCCATTAACAGCAGTCAGGCCGTTTACACTGTTAGCCTCCTCGGAGTTTTCCCTTTTCCGTTTAGCACCAATTTTTGGAATTTTAAATTTCCACATGATTTCCGCGCGTTTCACGCTATCAATTAGCGCACAATGTTCGGCAGGCAGTTTAACGCTCTTCGAAAGCTCCTTGATCTTTGTTTTCGAAACTTCGCCACTCGTTGTATCAATTGCTTCCAAGCTTTTATTTTTCTTTAATTCTACGCCAACTGGCTTGTGTTCGGCTTTTATTGTGGGCTTTTCACATTGAAGACTGACCTCTGCTTTCGTTTTACCAATACAACGGTTCTCTTCCTCATTCATGCTCTTAAGTAAATAAGACACTGCATCCTCGAGCTCCTTATCTTCACTTTCATCAGTAATATTCTCTGTGTTCGTTAGTTTAATTTCATTTTGTGAGTTTGAGCCATCCATGACTGCGGTTTCCTCAGCGCCAACATCTGTTTTGTTAATTTCCGCTAAGGGTTTCGCATTTGCAACGAGTTCAGCTACCAGACCGAGATTCGTATTATCATTTGAAATTTCGCCGGAGTGATCGATTGTTGTTGTTAGCTTTGAGACGTTTTCTTCAATAGTCAGCTGCGTAATTGAGCTGACTCCATTCTCTGTGCGAATTGTATTCGAATTCGCACCTTCAGTTTCTATGTTATTTGTGTAATTTTCGTCTTCAATCACTTTGGAACGTTGTTCTTCAGTCGTCTTTTGCATATCATCGATTCCTGTATCGCCCAATTTTTTGATATTCAAATCTTTCTGCTCTTCATTAATATTCTGCTTGGGGACAACTTTCTGTTCCAGCAGTATTTCCTGACGATCTATCTGATTCTGCTCATGCCAAATTTTATGCTCTTGAACTTTTTTTTGCGCGTGAAGGTCTTTATGATCATGAACGTTCTGCTCCCTCACCGCTTCCTGCTCATTAAGTATTTCTTGCTGATGAGCATCTTTTTGGCCATGCGAAATATTATGCTCATGAACAGCTTTCTCCTCATGACCCTTTTTCTGCTCATGTAGTGCTTTTGGCTCTTGAACAGCTTGCTGCTCTTGAAACATTTTCTGATCATGAAGAACTGTCTGCTCCTCAACGGCTTTCAGCTCATTAAGTATTTCTTGCTCATAAACATCTTTCTGCTCATGCGAAACATTCTGCTCATGAATAGCTTTCTCCTTATGACCCCTTTTCTGCTCATGAAGTGATTCCTGCTCTGGGTTAGTTATTTCTTTCTCATTCACAATTTTGTGCTCATTTCTGTTTCTCTGCTCAATTGACGTACCTTCATTCAACGATTTTTGTAATGACCCCTTAGCAAAGAAACTATCTGAGGCGTTATCCAATTCAATAGAAGCTTCAGCTGGAGCCATAGAATTTGCTTCTATACCACTAGTTACTTCCGATATATTAGCGTAGACTAAGCCTTCACACTGTGACAAACTCGCTCTTTTACAATTGCTGCTCTTAGAAAGCTCAATAGCGCTTTCATCAGTTTTTCCAACTTCTTTTACGTTTTCCGTCGGTTTAGTGGATTTTGTTTGAACAGCCGATTTTTTAGCTTCAACTTTGCCTGCTTTTTTTTCTTTAACTACACCAATTTCGGAAGATCTTGTATTATTTTCAAATATTGCGGAATTTTCTTGTACGGCAGCCGAGTCCAGATGCAAATCGTCAAATGCGAGTATTGTGTCTTTTGCTTTTATGACTTGTATCTCACCTTTACTTTGACGTCTTGTCTCCCCTTGCTCCGAATTGTTGGTTTTAACCATAGTTTTATTTGAGATCGTACCTTTCTTGGATGTGCTATGGCAATCAGGCTGTTCTTCAACTTCATCCGATTCTATTTTATTTGTACCTTGACTATCGGCCTTGTTTGCAATTTGAAGATTATCAGTTGAAGTGTTGCAAATTGAGTCATTTTGTTCTATAATACTGGTATTGTTTGAAAGTTTCTCGTTTCCAGATTCAGGTTCCAAGTGCTCTAAACTGGCTTTAATTTTATTTATATCCAATAGTTTCACCTCTGACGGGACTACATTCGGGAAGCTTTTAGTTTTATCAGCAGAATTTTCTTGAACGTTTTTCTCTTCCATGCAATTTACGTCATTCATTTTACTATCGCCCATATCCTCCCTAACTTTATCGCAAATAACACCCTCCGTTTTGTTTGTAATTTGAAGAATATCTGCCGGAGTAACGCAAATTGAGTCCTTTTGTTCT